AAAGAAAAAGATAAAAATAAAAGATTAAAGTGTTATTAATTTCTTAAGAAAATGCTGCAAAAAGGAACTCTCTTTTCCTTCTTTTACTACTGCTACTTTTATATTTCTCTCTCATCATTGTACAACTCCATCATTCTCATCAATCATTCTCATCATTTGTGTTCCAACACCGCATGTTTTCTGCATTGCCATCTTTGTACCATCTTACCAATCCTTCGTCGTCACCATAGTAGATTAATTTTGGTAAATTTTTTTTTTTCAGTGTGTTGAATTTATGAAATAGCTTTATAAGTATATAAAATATTATTACTAATTAGATTTAAACAAATAAACTTTTAGAAACCAAGAGGTGAGAGGTGAATTCATTCTCTATTAAACCTTTTATGAACAATTTAATCAATACAATACTATTTATTTCAGGTAAGTCTATTTGATTTCATCTTTCAAATGAAGTAAGTTAACTAGGATCTTAAGGCAGGTGTTATGGCATTATTAATCAAGATCACGTAACAAAAATTTAATGACTGATGATCATTAATAAACATTACAATAAGATAGATATAATAACCTGCTTTTTTCATTACATTTACAAATATAAAATTGATTTTTGTTAAAAATAAAATCGATTATAGCAAGAACCTTGAATTTTATATACCCGAAATTTTTGGATGTCCACCTTGTGTGAAGCAACTGTTAGAGCACCTGTTTAGTTATATTTGTTTATAATATTATGGATAGTAGTCTTGCCATAGCCAGTTTTTTTTTTGAAATAACTCTTTCTGAGTCTGAACCAGCTTCATGGAAAACAATAACCCTCCACATTCAGAATTTGACAGTTCTTTCGTTTTGACCATTTTTTAAATTATTTTAAATAATAAAACTTATAGATCCTAATATGTTAGAAGTCCAATGAATCAAACTATTTTAAATGCCAATACTTATGATATTGATTCTAAAGAATCATTAAAATTTATTAAAAAAAATTGAAAATTCTGAAATTCCAAAAAAAATACAAATGATTTTGGACTATTGTAAAAGCATTAAATTTATTATCAACCATTATTTTATATATATTTACAAATTTCATTACATTATGTACCTGAAGGTGAATATATGCTTTCAAGTGGTTTGCTATTCCATTATAAATTTTTTTGTGAGATAAAGTTTAAAAATGAATTTATAATTTTCATTATATAAATTTTAAAATTATAAAATTTCTTATTTATTTGGATCTACCAAAAAATAAAGAACTAATAAACCCACATTAAAGAATTCCACATGTTGCTGTTGATTGATTTGATATTGTTGATTAATTTGTTGTTGTGATTTCTGTCCATTTGATATATCTTGTTGACGCAAATAGTTTCAATATGCATTGGCATATTTGATTGGTCATTTGAACTGGCATATTTGCGCCACCATTGTGTTGGACTTGATTTGCTCTGAACTTGATTAATTATCGCACGAGAGTCAGACATTACAGGGAAGTTTTGAGTAAATTTGCCTTAGAATATTCTCGACTATTAATCAGAACTTTGAGCTGAATTGGTCATCTTTGAATTGGATTAGATTAATCATTTGTCGTAAAATAAATACATGATAACTTGGAATTCTATTGGTTATTCGCATTGGAATGCTATTATTTGGAACATGATAACCATTTGTCTATATCATTACTTGTAACTTGATTAGAAACATAATTAACCATTTGTGATGGAACAAACCCAGTATCTAATTGTGTATTCGCTGATGGAGTTGAGTTGTTGTTGATTGATCAAATTATGTTTTTGCATCTAATTTATTTTAATATCATTTTCTATCATTTATATATATTAATTTTGTAATATTTATCAATGGATCCTAGAAAAATAATTAATTTTAAAAATTAAATAAAATTTAAATAAACAATTTAATATCAAATAAATAGAACTTAAAAAAATTTAATTAATAACCCTCACACGCCTTTCTCTTTCAATAGATAGACGAATCTTATAAAACTTATTAATCTTATCCCAGCCCCAAGAGCCTATTTATCGCCAAGCATCTTTTTTTAAATTAACATACAGTATTAATAAAAATTATTACGATAATTTATAAAATATTTTAATTGAACTTACTAGATTCATCCTTTATTAATAGTCGGCTCCCATGGTTTGCAGAGTTTTGATTCGAAAATATTTTAACAGATGAGACTCTGGTTTGAATTCTTTATCAAGTCACTATCACAGTAAATTAAAATAATAAATTAATAAATTTTTAAATAAATTTAAAAAGAAATACTTATAAAAGTTAAGAATATTAAAAATTATTTAACTTTTTCTCGAAGGATTTAAATTAGAATTTTAAATGGTCGTCAGAATTATCCAATCCGGAATTGAATTGGGATCCAAATACAGCTTTAGGTACAACAAACCCTTTCTATTCGTTTAAAAAAAATAATTGTAATTAAAAAAAAAACACCATCAGTAATATTGATAGAATCCATAAATTAAGTTCGAATAATAATTACGTTAATATCTTGTAAAGCTTGTTAATCCGTCCAGTCAGAGTCAGTTCAATATTATCCCGAAGAGAGTCATTATTTTTCGTAGTAATTCCTCCTTCCTTCACACTGTGGATTTGTTATGACCCTTAAACTACATAATCTAGGTGATAACAACATTATTACAATTATGGAAATTATAATTATTCTTATATATTTAAGCTTACCTTCGTAAAATTTATATTATTTCGACGGTTAAGTCTGCCGTTCCGTCCTATTATATAAAAATATGAGAGCAATGGAAGGTAAGGAATTCCGGTCTTATCATATATACAAGCGCATAAAACTTCAAGATTTTTTTAAAGGTGAATAGAGAAGGACCAAAGAATCTGATTTGGATACAAAATTTATCTTATCATATGATTTTTATCAATCCATCCTGAATTATTTTTGGGTAATACAAATCAACGTAAAGATAATTCTGAAATAAAAGTAAAAAAAAAAAAGAGGTCGAGAAAATTATCAATTATTATTCAGTTTCTAGATTGTATTATTGTATATTATTGTATCGGAGTTCATTGTATATTATTATATGGAGTTCATTTATTATTAATTTATTAAATTCTTATTTTTTAAAAAAATATTCGAACGCAGACTCGAATTTAGCCGTTTTTATACGCTTACAATTACTTTGTTAGAATTTACTGCTCTATTATTCTGAGCCGCGCCAAAAAAAGTATTATTCTATCATATTACATGTATTAATTACTTGTCTTTCATCACTACCAGTTATATCACGTCAAGCATATATTTTTTATTTACTTTTTATATAACCTTTGTTATTATTTTTTTTTTTTTTAGTCAGGATCAAAACGGGAAAAAACGAAATTGATAAGGGAACGTGAGGTGTAAGTTAAGTGCTTCTTTTTTTTTTTTGGCACAAGACAAAAGAGGACAAAATAAGTGCTATATTTCCTAGTTTTGTTTCGTTTTTTATTATCGCATGAAGAAAATAAATAAAGATGGATGAAAATAAGTTTATTATAACTTATTTATTGGGTTAACGCAAAAATTCATACCTTTTAACTAAGAAAGTTAAAATTTTTATTATAACAAACTTATTCCTTGCAGCATTTTGCTTATACTAAACCTGGGGGTATGATTATAAAAATCTGTGCTGCTCTTCTACCTCCTACCGCAAAATTTTACATTTTCACGTTCGTATTCATATGCAGATTTTGTGATAATTATCTATTTTAGATTCACGGATTTTCTTTTTTTTTCAAAAATAGATTGATATTTTTTCCATTTATTATTTGCTAGAAGTTTAAAAAATTATATGATGGAAGATAAATCAAAAAAAGTGATCCCAATATTATGTTTATGGCAAACTTAAACTGTAAAGACAGTGAGAAATTTGTTGTCTGTTAATCAATATATATAGGTATATGAGGTATATGATTTGAATTCTTTCAGTTATCCAAGAAAAATTCTACTTTTCCCTTAACTATTTGCCGTCGTTCCGTTTTGTCGTTTTGTTGGATATAAATAAAAATATCGGATCGGATTAATAGTACAAAATCAGAAAGGTAATGATTGTCATCAAAACAATGAATTAAAAAAAAAAATTTAAAAACGAATATTCCTTTTATTTCCCATGTCTCGAAAAATAGAAAAAATAAAGTATTGTCCGGCAGGTCATTCTTCTGAGGATATCGCTTATTTTGACGGCCAAAATTTCATTCATTCTGATGGAATATGTTCTTTATGCACTAAAGAACATTTTATCCAAGAATTTAAAAATTGGTCGAGTGAGAATTCTAACATTGATGAGATTATACAAGAATCTCAAATAAAAAGTCTTTATTCAAAGTTACATTGGATGCCTTATGATAATTTTCTAAATATCGAACACATCGCGGATGGCCATGGATCTGTGTATTCTGCCAAATTAAAAAATGGAATAAAAAAGAATTGGAATTTTATCAAACAGAATTGGGATTATCGTTCAATAGGCCGCGAAGTTGCTTTAAAAGAAATAAAAGATTCTAGATATGACATAATTGAATTTCTGAAAGTGGTAAATTTATTTATATTTAGAATATAAGTAACTATGAACTGTTATTAATATTTTGTAATTTATTAATTTATCTTTTAATATTTTCGCATTAAGATTAAGGTTGTTGATCGTTTTCTCTCTGCTCATTATTATGGAATTTCAAAAAATCCTTCTACACAAAACTACATTATTGTTATGGATTTATTTGATTTTGACTTACATAATTTTTTAACAAAAAATTTTTTGAATTTAATATGGCTATCAAAAATGTACATATTAACATCAATAACATGGGATCTTAAAAGCGTTCATTCAAAAAATTTAGTTCATCGTGACTTTCATAGTGGAAATATTTTAAATATTTTGATGATCAATAATTTCGATTTTAGCGAATCTGACATAGTAATAGATTTAAGTTCATGTAAATTAGAAAATGATTTAATTTTAAACTCTAACAACAAAAATAACAAAATTTATGGATCAATTCCATATATTCCGCCTGAGGTATTAAGAGGAAATGAATTTACAAGGGAGGGTGATATTTATAGTTTTGGTGGAATTATGTATGAAATAGCTACTGCACAACGACCATTTGCTGACCAAGCACATGATACATATTTGATGATTGATATATGTAACGGTTTAAGACCAAAGGTTCCTGATTTTATGTTAAATTGGATTCCAGAATGGTATTTAGACTTGATGTATCGATGTTGGAGTGATGATCCTACTAATCGTCCAACTGCCATTGAATTACATGATTTATTTTGGGATATATCATTTAATATTATTACAGTGGATGATAATGTTATGCGACAACTTGAAATTGCTGATCAAAATCAAAAAAATACATCAAAATCCCAAAAGCAAGAATTCCTTGAATTATTTTCATATTTAAGTAAGTTACATCCTCAATCACATTATGTTAGCCGATATATTCATACTCTTCATGGATTACATGATTTATTGGAAGAAATAAAGTCTGGAAAATCTTCAGGTGTGTTCTTAGAACGATTTTAATTTTAAATAAATGATCGATTACAAAATTTTAAATTTTTCAATTTTTAAATTTATAGATCCTAATTTATTATTAAAGTCCAATGAATCAAGTTCCAATGCTCATGATATTGATGAGGAAACAGAAATTCAAAGCAAGCAGAAAAATGAAATTCTCTAATTATTCGACCTTGGATTGGTTATGAATTCACGAAGAATTTAAAAAATACATTGATTTGAATAAAAAGAATAAAATTATTTTATATCTTAAAACTATTTTCACGAGCGCATATTATTATGATTCAAATTTGGAATGTTTCAAATAAATGTTATTATTGGTTTATAAATGAAAGATGGCTTGAATTTAATTAATTATTTAATGATTTGTATACTTTATTATATAATTTCAAAATTAATCATCTTGTACGATAAGATCATTTTACTCTGGTACAGAATTAATAACTGACAAAACCACTAGATTGATGAAACTGTATGCAAATATCCGTATTAAAGACAATTATTAAATTTTTTAAATAAATATTTTCATTTAATTTTTTTTTAATAGTTTATTTTTTTGTCTAAAAAAATGCCCTGTAATTTAAGCACATTTGAATCCAATATCCAATAATTAATGTCCAATGCACTCAACCTGCTTCATTAAACTTAGATTCACAGATGCTTGAGACAATATTAAAATTAGACTCTTGAATTCGCTGCAGATAAATCCGCGATAAAAGAATATGAGAGATTAGAAACAAAAGTATTTAAACCACTACCTATTTCAAGAACAATAATTAATATATTAATATATTTTTTCCGTTTTTTCAACTTCGCTCGCGATTTGCGAGGTACAGAGCAATTTTCTACTAAGATATTTCCAAGATAGAAAGAAAGACACGATTTTTACACGGACGTCCGAATTTAAACGCAAATAACTCCGCGAATATTGATGTTACTGAAATGAAACACATATCATTCTGTAGCCAAGAACCAGGTCTTTCTTTCCATCTTAGAAATATTTTAGTAGAAAATTGTTCTATACCTCGCAAATCGCGAGCGAATTTGAATAAACGGAAAAAATATAGATAAAAATTTGCGCAGGTGTTGAAATTTTCGCCTAATAAAATTTCCTGATGAAAGTCATCAAACTTATTTTACATAGCTTCATTTGACCCACGATTAATATTTCGATCTGATTTTCATTGCAAAAAATGCTCACATTCAACAAGTCAGGAAATATGCCTTTTATTGTTCTTCCTCGCAACAATATTCCCCAAAAATGCACCTACGTGTATGGGAATTGTTGCCACATGTTTTTTATCGTATTATGTCATGCAAAAGAGCAACAATGAATTCTCCGCGCGTGATGCAAAAATCGGCGAAATTAGAGCCGAAATTATTGATATACTTACGGCAGATATCACTACTACCTAGCGTAAGCACAAAACATCTTATTGATAATCAATAATGCGACTGCGAATCAACGAGACAGAAAGAATTCTGGAAACCTACTATTATAATTTTGTAGAATTGCAACCCAATTTGAATCAATCGCTAGAATATCGCTTCGCTCTGAAATGAAATTATTCAAAGACTTCAGCTCAGTTGAGTAGTTGAGTGTTGGCCGAGACTTCAAACCGATCACGTGGAAGCAGTAATTCTCTACAAGTCCAATTCATCTATTTACGAAAATAGGAACCGTTTTAAGCGAATTTTTTTTCGAATAAGGAAGAGGGGTACTATAGATAGAATTTAGCAAGTTTATTTTGATTTTATAAGCTTATTACAATGTAAATTGTTTTAAGCACTTTACATAGTAAAAATATCTACTATTAAAAACTGAGACGATAAAATTACGAAAAATTTTAACTATGGTAATTATTTTTTGTTAGAAGTAACTAGAGATAAGACGTTCTCCATCGCGCGCACTGATAGCTGGTTCATCGCAGTCTAGTCTGAATTATTTTATTTGGCGGGTCAATAATGTCATTGGCAAATCGCGCTGTTGGTCGGCGGTGCAAAAAATTATAATCTACAAGTGAATTTACTTGATCAAACCCGATCATTTTAGTCAAATCATTTTCTAAAATGAATCCTCGATCATCTGCGTTCACATAGTTTTGATTAAATGATGAGTGGTGGATTAGTCTTATCTAAATATCTCAATTCCTTAGGATAAAGACCTCTGTTCACCTTACTATATTCTGATTCGTAAATTGAAAATTCACTATCTGTAAAATAAATTGTTATAACATTAGTATTGAAAGAAATAGGTATATTTTAAAATGGGAATAATTCCGATATGTACCTTTAAGCTTTCCTTCATTATTTTTGTATTCTTTAACATACTTATTTATGTATAATTAGCATGCGTGTACCCGTTATTTTGTGGACGTGGTCAAATTTGCCTTCGAGTTCTTTGCATTCTTTTTAAATAACGGATATCATCATGTGAGCTCTCAGTACGTATAAATAGATGGGTTCAGTAAGAACATACCATATCGAGGAAGAACATGCTTTTCAAAATATTCCTCTGCTTCTTCCTTGATTAAACCTCCAACAACATATGGAGTTGCATGTGGGATTTGTAAAACTAGACAATAAATGTGGATTAGAAAATCATAAGCCTTTACATTGCTATCAAATATGATTATAAGATGGACTTACGATTTACAATTCAGTCAAAAAAGATTGAATCGGAAGAGGTAAGCACTATATGAAAGCGTCCCTTTTCTTTTGTATTTGCCACCACCCAGTTCAGAATTGATTTGAGAAGAACTTTTCACTCTTCCGAAACCTCAAGTTGGCTAAACATGTTTGCTTCATCAATGACCAAAATGAGTGGAACGGGTCCAATTTGGGAGAGCATTACCAATATCATCAAGCAACTTACTGACATCATTAGAAGTAATTTTCTCTCACTAAATGGCTTAACTTCTCCTTGTTCAAGTTGCTTTTTAAGGAGATCCGTATATTTTTTGAAAAATGGTTCGAATTTGAAGTCATTGATTCATTTATCCTTTTTGGTGTGTCAAATTGTCCTTCGCGACAATTGATAAAAAGAGGGTTGAAATCGCCTTTACTCGTTACCTCATGGATCAACGTGGTTTTCCCAGTACTAGGAGGACCTAGTATGGCATGAAGCTCCAGGATAGCACTAAATGCATTTTTAAACTTAACAAGTTCTCGTTTCCGATTGAAAAAGATATTTTCGCGAGTAACTTGTGTTATACAACGAGTGACACGACCTGATCTCAGTGTATTTGAAATACGGCTACCACTGGTAGACAAGCGTTTAGTTAAACCGAAAATGAGCATGGCTGTGTCGCAGTTTAAACAGTAAGGATTTTTAGTGCTATTTAACAGAGTCTTTGCATTATTACAAATTTTACGGAAAAACTAGTGTCGAGACGATCAATGGAAAAAAAAATCCACGTATATACGTTTTGCAATTGAAAACTAATCATTTTTTTTATATAGATTTCCGAAAGCTTTATTGGGCTAACAACACTGTTGTTTTATTTTCCGACACTGCATATTTCGTATAGTATAACTCACAGCACATTTTTATTTTATCCAGAATATCGATTATTAAGACAAATGAAACCGGATCATGGAGGATAATGTATTAGTTTAGATATTTTAGACAAACGAAAAACGATGTGGTCAGAAACGTCAATCTGTAAAGAAAATACACAGACAAGAATTAATGATTTGTTTGGTTGCTCACATTGGGCTTGTGATTTTGAACATCTATACGAGAAATTTTATTCGATTTTTTGTGTAATTCCGGATGAATAAAATTATAGTCGAAAAAAATAATAGTGAATCGCAAAAGCATTTAAAATTTTGAGTTTATTCAATGAGACCCAATTATGAAGATGATTTGGGATAACTATGTATGGATCCTCATAATACCAAACGTATCTTAGAGCAATGCAATTTTCTTTGCAGAGTTCTTTTTGACTTGATAACGCATCAATTGCTTTTCAAATTCTTCCAGATCTTTATGAAAGTGTTTTACATGTTGCTAATGTTGTTTGCCCTGCCCCTCTATTGCAAATCCATACTGTGGATAGTAGTTGTCGAGTTCTAATATTTTAGGATATAAAAATATAAACTTTTTTTTAGTGAATTTGATTGGGATACAAAATCTATCTTACCAATATGATCTTGAATTGTATTCAGGGTTAAAAAAATTTCGAAAGCGCACATATTATTAGGACTCGAATTTAACATACTTATCAGTTTATGTCTATTTAATTCTTCAAATAAATGTTATCATATACTTATAAAAATTACTTTGCTACAATTTTACTGTTCAATTATGCTAAAAAGGTTAACGAAATACAATTTCTATCATATATAATCTTTTAGTCATATCATGTGTAGCACATGTATTTTATTTATTTTTTACAAAGCTTTTGTCATTAATATTCTTTAATTAGGTGTCCGAAATCAAGAATATTTGAGTTAAAAAAATTAAATTATTAAAGGAATGTGAAATTCCTTCATCAGGAAACTTTATAAATATTACGGGACACGTAATTTATAATTACGTGAGAATTTTACGCAAATTTACGTATGATATTAATTATTTGATGTAAGACTAATAAATAATCAGAAAAGGCAAGGCAATGATTAGCATCAAAAAATGAATTATAAAATTCAGAAAAAATTAAAAATAACGATTTATTTATTCTCGTGTCTCAAAAAATGGAAAAAATTATTATTGTCCGGCAGGTCATTCTTCGGAGGATTTCGCTTATTCTGATTACAAAAATCTTATTGATTCTAATGGAATATGTTCTTTATGTACCAAAGAACATTTTATCTAATAGTTAAAACTTGGTCTAGTGGAAATGCTGACATTGATAAGATTATACAAGAATCTCAAATAAATTACATTTATGAAAAGTTGCATTGGTTACCTTATGATAATTTTCAAAAAATCAAACACATAGCAGATGGAGGTCATGGATCTGTGCATTCTGCTGAATTAAAAAATGCAATGAAAGGGAAATGGAATTTTATCAAACAAGATTGGAAGTATGATTTAATAAGCGCCGAAATTACTTTGAAAGAAATAAAAGATTCTAGATATACAACTAATTTCTTAAATTGGTATGTTTCTTTATATTTAAATATAAGTTATTAATATAAGTTATTAATATTTTGTTTTTTATTAATTCATCTTTAAATATTTTCATATCAAGATAAAGAATGCTAACTATAATGGACTTATTGCTTTTTATTATGGATTTTCAAAAAATCCTTTTACACAAAACTACATTTTTGTTATGGAATTATTTGATGATGACTTACATAATTGTTTAACCAAAACCTTTTGGGATTTAAGGTGGCAATCAAGAATTTACACCTTATTTCAAATAGCATCGAATCTTGAAAGCTTACATGAAAAAAAATTAGTTCATTGAGACCTTCACGATGGAAATCTTTTGCTATTCTATAATTTTAATAATGATCATTATGATCGTACAATGGATTTAGATTCATGTAAATTTGAAGATGATTTAATTTTAAATGCTAATACCAAAAATAACAAAATTTCTGGATCAATTCCGTATATTTCATCTGAGGTATTAAGGGGAAATGAATTTACAAGGGAGGGTGATATTTATAGTTTTGGTGGAATTATGTATGAAATAGTTACTGCACAGCGACCATTTGCTGACCAAGAACATGATACTTATTTGATGATTGTTATATGTAATGGTGTATCGATGTTGGAGTGATGATCCTTCTGTACGTCTAATTAGCTGATTTATTTTGAGACGTATCAGGAAAACTCTATAATAATATAGTGGATAATGATGTTATGCGTCAACTTCAAATTGAAAAAAAATACATCAAAATCTCAAAAACGAGAATTATCTTAATTATTTTTACTGCAAATAAGTTACATTCACAATCATGTTACAGTACATTAGTCGATATACTCATACTCTTCATGCATGATTTATTGGAAGATCTCAAATCTGGAAAATCATCAGGTATTATTTTTCGAATAATTTTTATTTTAATAAATAAATAAATAATTCATTTTTAAATTATTTAAATTTTAAATTTGTAGATCCTAATTTATTATTAAAGTCTAAAGAATCAACTCACATTATTGACATTCAGTCTTGGATTGGGTTGTGGTTCCCAAGAATGTATTAATTCGAATAAGAGATCTTGTTTTATTTTACATTCCGTTCCGAAGTAAAAAAAAAAAAAGAAAAAATTCTGGAAAAATCAGATAAAATTTAATGAAATTATATTTTGTATGGGAGTTCATTTATTATTAAAGATAATTTTTACTTATTTTAAAAAAAAAAAAAATTTCGAGAGCACACATATTATTGAGACTCGAATTCACATACTTTCAGTTCAGTTTATATATATTTAATCTTCAAATAATCATATGCTTACAAACTTTGCTACAATTTTACTGTTCAATCACGTTTAAAGGTTAATTTCTTCTATTATTCTATTATATATAATCTTTCAGCCATATCACATGAAGCACATGTATTTTATTTATTCTTAACAAAGCTTTGTTATTTTTAATTAGGTGTCCGAACTCAATAATACTCAAGGAATATTTGAGTTAAAATGGAAAAAAATTAAATTATCAAATTATAAAAGAGGTAAGTGCTTGTGTTTTTTTTGGTACTTTTGTTTGTTTGCTATTTCACATGGATAAAATAAGGTATATATTGTACTTTATTTATTTATTTTATTTGATAATAAATAAATAAATAAATTGTGGAACATAACACAAATAAATAAAATCAGAAAAGGGGGTAGGCTAAAGCGGAGTAGAATCATGTGAGGTGATTTCGGGTTAAGGCGGAAGTGTGATCGTATCACATGTA